CACTCCCACACTTCAAAGGATGCATGCCTCCGACAGACGGAGAAGCCCCGCTCGATCCAGAGCAGGGACGGAAGGTTGCCGACGTCGACTTTGAAATCGTAGTAGTAGGCACTGCGGCCGCAGACACAGGCACCCCCAGCGACGAAGGTGTAGGAAGATCAGGCTCCAGGACGGCGAAACTATTCGTTGTTTGTATCCACTCCGGGCCACTCATTGGGAGTGTAGATTGCTTTGCGGGAGGTCGCTATCTTCGGCTTCCACGGCTCATGACATGACCATCGTTGATTGCCTTTCTCCTCATGCTGCGGGCAACACCGGCCAGTTGGATAACGACAAACGACAAGGCGGAGATGCATCCAACAAGCGCGAACACCGTCCAGCCACTGGCGTCGAAAATGTAAACATTCCACTCTGCGTTTTCCCCAGTGTCTTACGTAGGCTGGCGACCTGCATGATCAAGGAAGCCACCTCAAGCCTATAATCCTCGGCAATTAAACAATTGCCGCATTGGATCTCCGAGTGATCCGGTTTGTCCTGAAACTAAGCGTAATAGATACAGCTCCTACAGCGCTGGAACCGTTATTTTAGTTCTACAGACAAAGAGGGCTCCATTGCAAAACTCATCTGGTACCAACTTCGTTAGCTTGATGGCTAGCAGCTTAGCGTCTCTGTCAAGCAGGCTTCAACCTGTCTCTTAATTGGGATTCCGGGACAAGAAATAGCGGTCCTAGCTGTTAAAAGCTTACTGCATCGTGGAATCCACGCAAAAACAAGTTCTGTATTCGTATTTATTAATATCGTTTTTGTTTTAATCAACAGTAACAAACCGAGTGTTTTCCAGCATACAATGTTCAGCTGCGCACTCTGTATTGTACACAACTAAAGAATCATTGTGGAATCTGAAAAGACATGTATCCCAAAAGCATGATGGTGTACTACGTGCACATGCTAATAGAAAGGAACGAGGTGGGTAGCTAGCTAAGTGTGTCATTGTAGCAAAGTATTTATACACAAAAAATCTGTTAGTTCTATTATGTAAACAATAGGCTATCATTGATGTTGGCCCAATAGGCCTGACATATTTCATTTGATTTATTAGGATCCCCATTAGCTGATGCCAATGGCGACACATAACACATAACAAAAAAGACATTACAGACAAAATACTTTACAATTTACATAAATTAAAAACATTAACATGGCTCTGTATAATACTGAATTTGTTTGGACATGGGGAGTGTGAAAAGACTTCATTAGCTGTGGTTGCTGACGCGTATATGGTTGAATCATCAGCATACATGGACACACATGCTTTGTTTAATGCCAGTGGCAGGTCATTGGTCAAAATAGAAAAGAGTAGAGGGCCTAGAGGGCTGCCCTGTGGTACACCACACTTTACATGTTTGAAATTAGAGAATCTTCCATTAAAGAAAACCCTTTGAGTTCTATTAGATAGATAGCTCTGAATCCACGATATGGCAGAGGTTGAAAAGTCGTAACACATACGTTTTCTCAACAATAGGTTATGGTCAATAATATCAAAGGCTGCACTGAAATCTAACAGTACAGTCTTCTTATTATCAATTTATTTCAACCAATCATCAGTCATTTGTGTTAATACATGTTGAGTGCCGTTCTCTATAAGCATGCTGAAAGTCTGTTGTTAATTTGTTTACAGAGAAATAGCATTGTATTTGGTCAAACACCATTTTTTTCTCCAACAGTTTGCTAAGAGCTGGCAGTAAGCTGATAGGTCTGCTGTTAGAACCAGTAAAGGTCACTTTACCACTCTTGGGTAGCGGCATGACTTTGGCTTCCCTCCAGGGATGAGGACAAACACTTTCTTCTAGGCTCAGATTAAAGATATGACAGATTGGAGTGGCTATAGAGTCAGATACCATCCTCAGTAGCTTTCCATCTAAGTTGTCAATGCCAGGTTTGTCACCTCTCCCAACCTAACAAAAAAATTCTAACTTACAATGCTTTTCTTTCATTATTTGGTTTTTTTATGCATTAATTGTTGTTCCTGCCTATGTTTGCCCACTTTGCCAATGAAGTAATCACTAAAATAATTGGCAACATCAAATGGTTTGTGATGAATAAGCCATCTATACCTGACAGTTTGGGCAGAAATTATTTGGTTGTGTAAACCCACAGTTTCTTCAGCTGTCCGGGTGACTGGTTACAGACGATCCCGCAGGTGAACAAGCATTTCGCTACACCCGCAATAACATCTGCTAAATATGTGTATGTGACCAATGAAATTTGATTTGAAGAAGCCGGATGTGGAGGTCCTGGGCTGGCATGATTACACGTGGTCTGCGGTTGTGAGGCCGGTTAGACGTACTGTCAAATTCTCTAAAATGACGTTGGAGGCGGCTTATGGTAGAGAAAGTTGGTATAACTCCCTCTGGTAGAGTGCTGATAGGTATAATTTAAATACATTTGATTATATTAATCTGCAGTGGTGACCCTGAGGAAGTTTCCCCATGTGACAAAGGGGCAGCTGGGGATTGCAATTAATTGCAGAGCTCCTATTTCAATCGAAAACCATGGTAAGTTAATTAAAGCATAAGTTAATGGTTAGTTATTACAACACAACATATCTATATCCTTACATCCTGGAAGTAGTCTACAGATTAACCTTTTTTTCTCTTTTGTAGATCCAACCAGAAGAGGAATAGATTGTCTGCGGCAGAATTTTTTTCAGGATTGTACCTTTGCTATAGACACGGAATGACTGTTAGGCTATGCTGTATTTGGCGGCTTATTGTTTCTTTATCAGATTGTGAATTTTGTTGAAGACAACACGTGCCATTCAACGGGCACCTGGCACATGCATAAGACTGTTAGTCGTATTATGATTTCACAGCGATACAATGTCACACCCGTCAAGGTAGGAAATTATATTGCTTGCCTATAAATTGTAACAATGTCAGACTGATGTCAGACAGATCCAACCGGAAGAGGAATAGATTTTCTGAGGCAGAATTTTTTTCGCCAATAATGTGATATAATTATGCTGTAAACAGTCAACCTGGAACATGCCATAGCTAGAACACTTTATATTCCGTTTATATTTTTTTTTTATTTTGTGTTTTTTGGAATTTGCATAATAAATAAAATACATTGTAAAGTACAATAAAAAAAGTATTTGGACAAAAATATCTGATTTGTCCAATTTGTGTTATTTTGCCTTATATTTTAATGGAAAATATATTTCTTACACATGCATTTAAGAATCTATTCTAACATATATTCTACAATGTATTTCAAAATGTATTTGAAATGTATTCTTAAAGATGCTCTATGAAGAAATCGAGAATGGGAAGCATAGATATAGCGCACATTTACATTTTAGTCATTTAGCAGACGCTCTTATCCAGAGCGACTTACAGTTAGTGAGTGCATACATTTTCATACTGGCCCCCCGTGGGAAACGAACCCACAACCCTGGCTTTGCAAACGCCATGCTCTACCAACTGAGCTACAGGGGACTACAAGCGGTAGATATGCCCATAGAACATATCTACCGCTTCTTAGACTTGCTTTCAATGAGAATGACAGATCTATAACACACATTTCATTTCTTTGCAGCATTAAATGTATAAAATACATATTCATATACATTTATGAACGCATTTTCAGATACATTTCAAATACATTTAGCAATATATGCCAAAATGTATTACATACAGTACCAGTCAAAAGTTTGGGACACACCTACTCATTCAAGGGTTTTTCTTTATTTTTACTATTTTCTACATTGCAGAATTATAGTGAAGACATCACAACTATGAAATAACACATATGGAATCATGTAGTAACCAAAAAAAGTGTTAAACAAATCAAAATATATTTTATATTTGAGATTCTTCAAAGTTGTCACCCTTTGCTTCCATGACAGCTTTGCAAACTCTTGGCATTCTCTCAACCAGCTTCACCTGGAATGCTTTTCCAACAGTCTTGAAGAAGATTCTCTAATTACTTATTTTCCACCATAATTTGCAAATAAATTCATTAAAAATCCTACAATGTGATTTCTGGATTTTTTTTCCTCAATTTGTCTGTCATAGTTGACGTGTACCTATGATGAAAATTACAGGCCTCTCTCATCTTTTTAAGTGGGAGAACTTGCACAATTGGTGGCTGACTAAATACTTTTTTCCCCCACTGTATGCTGAGCACTTGTTAGCTGCTTTTCCTTCACTCTGCTGTCCAACTCATCCCAAACCATCTCAATTGGGTTGAGGTCGGGGGATTGTGGAGGCCAGGTCATTGATGCAGCACTCCATCACTCTCCTTCTTGGTCAAATAGCCCTTACACAGCCTGGAGGAGTGTTGGGTCATTGTCCTGTTGAAAAACAAATGATGGTCCCACTAAGCGCAAACCAGATGGGATGGCGTATCACTGCAGAATGCTGTGGTAGCCATGCTGGTTAAGTGTGCCTTGAATTCTAAATAAATCACAGACAGTGTCACCAGCAAAGCACCCCCACACCATCACACCTCCTCCTCCATGCTTCACGGTGGGAACCACACATGCGGAGATCATCCGTTCACCTACTCTGCGTCTCACAAAGACACAGCATTTGGAACCCAAAATCTAAAATTTGGACTCATCAGACCAAAGGACAGATTTCCACCGGTCTAATGTCCATTGCTCGTGTTTCTTGGCCTGATTTACAGGTTTTGTGGATGCAAATCATTACTAGCATCATTATCATAATAATCATTACTGCTAGATTTATATTTTTCTTCATAGGGTTCAGAATCAAGCATTGTGAGATTCAACAGCGAACAAAGTGCTTTCTTCAGCTATGGAAGTATGTTGTTGTTGCTTTGGGTGAGCTGTGACACGAGTGGGGCTCATTTTCGCAGCATAAAAGCAAGCTAGATCCTCAGAATCTGTTTCAGAGTACTCCTTTTTCTTTATTCTCCGGGATAGTCACCAGTTGAAGTATCCTGGGGTAAGGAATGCTTTTGGCTGTTTCAGTACTTGGTGTCCACAAGTCTGAGTATCCCTGCTTCCGTACGCAGTGTGCAACGTTAGTTTGCTGAAGCTTCGGGATCGTGCTCTCCCTCTCTAGGTCTACGTTGATGTGCGAATCATAGTCCTCAGAGAGACGTTGGTCTGAGTGTCCAATCACAGCCCTTTTGTCTTCATCAGCACCTGATTCAAAACTGCCTATAGAGGGGGAAATAATTTATTAAACATCACTTAACAGTGAAATAGTGGATAATTGCCTTTTCTTGACTTTCGGAGAAATCATTCTAAGATGGGGTTGGTATTTTCTAGTATAGATAAACCATCCATTTCATTTGACTGGCATTTGACATTTCATTATAGGCCTCCATTGCACTTACTCTCCCTTTTTATCCTGTAGGCTTGCGGTGTTCTCCAGTCTTAACTCTTTAATTTGGATGCACTCATGCTTACCTTCACCATAGACTGTAGGGAACCAGATTAATCCTTTCTTAAAATCTTTCAATACCATATCAAGAAGAGCATGTAACTCCAATTATGTAAAAATTATAATAATGTAATAACACATTGGGAAGAACAGACTATTTTCATACCAGTACTGCATTTTTAACTAGGGTGCCTGAAATCGTATTTAACATTTCCAAGATAAGAGATATTTTACATTTTGTCACGTTTTTAGTCATCTTCCTAGCTTTGCTCATATACTATAGACAATACTGTTTTACAGGATCTTCCTCTTCTTTGCTTGGATGCTCCCCATCGCCACAAAAGTGAATCAACTCTTTGCCAACTGGACTCCTGTAGTCATCAGCCTCTAAAAACACAAGGAGTAAAATATTGACCTGGTGTTTAGCTTTATGTGGCATTACAGAATTGAGGAGAAAACCCATGAAAACTATAGAATTGACTACAGTGGCTAGTAAAATAGTGGTGGTATCAATACCTTGGTTAAATCATTGTAGGCTAATTGTAAACAGCCAGGTTACCTGAGTTGATGACTAGTCTCACTGGGATCGAGGTGATTTCTGATGGTGTGTTTGTGCGCTACGGACTTCTTTCCATGTCCTTGCACATTACGCTTCTCCGTGATTTGTATCCTCTCCCTCAAAAATGTGTTTACTTTTTGACTTCGAGTTCATTCCTAGTGTAAAATGGCGTATCCATTGCCCACACGTTTGCATATTTCTGCCACAGCGGTGTTTACCAAGACCTCCATAATGGAGGTGAGCTGTTTGTGAAAAGGAACAGAAGTCGACATTGTGGCCGGCAAAAGGACTGACATCTTGTTATAACCGGGACCCTCAAACTATTTTCTAACCTAATCACAGGCAAACAGCATTTGTCTATGAGTCAGTTGATGTTGTTATAGGGTTTCTATTGTCAGAACAATAACAGTTGTGACAGAGGCTCCAACCTACTGTAAATGACGAAAGCCTTCCGCATGGCAAGACTGTGTGACAGTATTACGCCAACCACGTTTCAAAATTCTTCGCCAATGCAGTTGCTTTTTGGAAATCATTGCATACACTGCGCACGCGCCTGTCCACCATGGACTACAGACATACACTACAGTCTGAAAATGGTTATTAGAATAATAAACTATCCATAGAAATGGAATTAGAACTGATAGTACATTTAGGTTATTATGCATATGATATGTCGGAGTCTCTCTCTACATTTTAGAATAGAGGATACAGAGATATGGAGATGCAAGCATCGAGATAAAGATGATTATCGCCATTTATTTCAACAACACCTTGGATCCAAACAACATCTAAACACAATTGTCATCAAGAGATACAATATAATACTGTTCTATTTAATTATGTGGATTGACCTACACACAACAATATCCTAATGGAACATGAAATGGTCACATTTCTTACATGTTTTCAAAGTCAAAACATTAAAAAAAAGAATCTTAAACCTAACATCGGTGTGGCTAAATGTGGAAATAAATTGAAAATGACACTAAAGTGAAAACAAGCATTTACATTCCCCAGGAAACATTCCCATGCATTGACAGCTGATTAACGGCTCCAACTTCTCTCTAGTCTACAAATTAACGCATTGATTTACTTGCCATTGTTAATTTTATATGGAGGACTAAAAGTGCCACAATTAAATAAATAAATACACCATTAAATAATTACTTAAATGTGTCATTAATTAATTAAAATTAGAATTAAATACATAAATGTGTAATTAAATGTATCATTAATTAATTCAAATACCGATTCATTTTATGTAAAATACATATATAATTATTTCACTATTTACATTTACATTTCATGATCCTGCATTGCAGTGATTCATGAATTACTTAAAACTGTCAAACTGACCCATCAAAGTCAGTGGGCGGGGCTAACGCGAATCTAGTCTGATCCATTGCTTTGGTCTGAAGTAGAGTAGGCCAACCTGGATAGAGACAATGGAGGATCTCCGTGAACTTTCCAGGGAGTTGGTTAGAGACATTTTAAACTTAGCAGAGGATGTAGAAGCAGGACCTGCTGACATTATCCGGAATTGATTTGTCTTGGCTTGATGCAGAGGGTAACCAATCAGGCGTTAGGTTCCGCCTACCAACTTTAACAGGCTGTTGATGAAAACAATTCTGTTGATATACTGATTCGTTGGTCTTCAATTGTTCTTAGTACACAGTGTAATCATAATTGTAACATTTCTGTCATTATGCTGCCATTTTAGTTTATTTAGAATGGCAAGATGTACCCAAATACATTTCAATAAATACAAATCTAGGAAAATTAAATGTTCTAATACCTAAATAAATAGATACAACTTGTAATAGTGATCTAATCAATTTTATTCAGTTTCCCATTGATTTGTATGCTTTGGGACAGTAAATGGTTAGGATTGCACTCTCATGCACGTCACTTGTTTCAACTTCACAAAGGCCTCACATTGGGGTGGTGTTTCTTCAGGTGTAACGTGAGACTGTATTTCACTATGAAACTTTTCCCACAAAGTGTACACGCAAACGGCCGTTCTCCTGTGTGTACACTCTGGTGCGTTTTCAGATGGGCTGACTGGGTGAACCTCTTCCCGCACTGGGCACAACTGAATGGTCTTTCTCCTGTGTGAATCCTCATGTGCACCTCGAGGTTCTGAGACGTCATCAGACACTTGTGACAGAAAGGGCAAACAAAACGCTTCTCCCTGCTGTCAGCGCTCCCTTGGACCTCGCTCCATTGGGGATGGTTAGACTGTTTCTCATACATGGCAAAACTCATCATGTCGGGTCCATCAAAATTCGATGCTGTGTTCATTCCCTGTGTCAGTTGACAGTGAGCGGGACTCACGCCTGAGATATTTTCGAGGTTTCGTTGGAGCGGAGAGAAGGTCATCTCTGGCTTAGCCTGTTTGGTCCACGCAGAGCACATATCCATCTCTAATTCGATAGGCTGAGAGTCAATCATGTCGATATCCCTCCTATCGCTGTGAGTCCCTACTTGACTGTTAAAGGTGACAGCTGATACAGTGGGAACAAGTGGAGGCTCTGGGTGGACCACAAGCACATCAGAGTCTGTTCCTGAGGCATAGGAGCAAACCAGCTCTGCTGTTTCCATCCCTAGGTGACCAGAGGAACCAGGCTGATTGGGGGTTTCATGCAGTGTGTATTGAGAGCCCAATATCATCCGTTTCCCGATACTTAATCTAGATGCAGGGCGTTTGAGAGTGTGCTTCGATGTCTCTTTCCTTTGCTCACCCTGGAAGATACTGTTATCTTCATTCTCTTGCCAGTCCATCTTCTTGCTCCTGAACTGTGCTGGACTGTCCCCTTCCTTTATTGTATTGGGGGATGTATGGGGAGCCACACCATCTCCTCCCACGGATGACACATTAACACCTGGAGGAAAATATCAAACAAAAACCATTGTGTTAAAGATTAAGAACTACATAGTGTAGAACTGCATGGTGGGAGCTAACTTTCTGAATGGTTTTATGGGACATATACCAGTAGTAGGGGTTATGATTACCTCATTTGATGCCACTATCTGAATCTGAGTGCACAAATATGTCATCACCTTCTATCTCTCTCTCTCGCGAACAAAAATAAATGCAACAATTTCAAAGATTTTACTGAGTTACAGTTCATATAAGGAAATCAGTCAATTGAAATAAATGTATTAGGCCCTAATCTATGGATTTCACGACTGGGCAAGGGTGTAGCCATGGGTGGGGCATAGGCCCACCCACTTGGGCGCCAGGCCCACCCACTGGGGAGCCATGCCCAGTCAATGAAAATGAGTTTTTCCACACAAAAGGGCTTTATTACAGACAGAAGTAAGCCATCAGACAATCCGGCAGGTGAAGAAGCCGGATGTGGAGGTCCTGGGCAGGTGTGGTTACACGTGGTCTGCGGTTCTGAGGCCGGTTGGACGCATTGCCAAATTCTCTAAAACGACGTTGGAGGCAGCTTATAGTAGAGAAACAAACATTACATTCTCTGGCAACAGCTCTGATGGACATTCCTGCAGTCAGCATGCCAATTGCACACTCCCTCAAAACTTGAGACATCTGTGGTATTGTGTTGTGTGACAAAACTGCACATTTTAGAGTGGCCTTATATTGTCCACAGCACAAGGTGCACCTGAGTAATGATCTTGCTGTTTAATCAGCTTCTTGATATGCCACACCTGTCAGGTGGATGGATTATCTTGGCAAAGGAGAAATGGTCACTAACAGGGGCATTAAACAAATTTGTGCAAAAAATAAGAGAAATAAGCTTTTTGTGCGTATGGAAAATTTCTGGGATCTTTTATTTCAGCTCATGAAACATGGGACCAACACTTTACATGTTGCGTTTGTATTTTTGTTCAGTACACAGTACCAGTCAAAGGTTTGGACACACATACTCATTCAAGGGTTTGTCTATATTTTTTTACTATTTCCTACATTGTAGAACAATAGTAAAGACATCAAAACTATGAAATAACACATATGGAATCATGTAGTAACCAATAAAGTGTTAAACAAATCAAAATATATTTTAGATTTTAGATTCTTCAAAGTAGCCACCCTTTGCCTTGATGACAGCTTTGCACACTCTTGGCATTCTCTCAACCAGCTTCATGAGGAATGCTGAGCACCTGTTGGCTGCTTTTCCTTCACTCAGTGGTCCAACTCAGCCCAAACCATCTCAATTGGGTTGAGGTCGGGTGATTGTGGAGGCCAGGTCATCTGATGCAGCACTCCATCACTCTCCTCCTTGGTCAAATAGCCCTTACACAGCCTGGAGGTGTGTTTTGGGTCATTGTCCTCTTGAAAAACAAATGATAGTCCCACTAAGCGCAAACCAGATGGGATGGCGTATCGCTGCAAAATGCTGTGGTAGCCACGCTGGTTAAGTGTGCCCTGAATTCTAAATAAATCACAGACAGTGTCACCAGCAAAGCACCCCCACACCATCACACCTCCCCCTCCATGCTTCACTGTGGGAACCACACTTGCGGAGATCATCCGTTCACCTACTCTGCGTCTCACAAAGACACGGCGGTTGGAACCCAAAATCTCAAATTTGGACACATCAGACCAAAGGACAGATTTCCACCGGCCTAATGTCCATTGCTCGTGTTTCTTGGTCCAAGCAAGTCTCTTCTTCTTATTGGTGTCCTTTAGTATTGGTCTCTTTGCAGCATTTCGACCATGAAAGCGTGATTCACGGTGTGGCTGAAACAGCCGAATCCACTAATTTCAAGGGGTGTCCACATACCTTTGTATTTTTTTACATGTATTTTAGGCACTCCATATATACAGAACATTCGGGAAGTATTCAGACCCCTTGACTTTTTCCACATTTTGTTACGTTACAGCCTTACAGTGAGGGAAAAAAGTATTAGATCCCCTGCTGATTTTGTACGTTTGCCCACTGACAAAGAAATTATCAGTCTATAATTTTAATGGTAGGTTTATTTGAACAGTGAGAGACAGAATAACAACAACAAAATCCAGAACAACGCATGTCAAATATATTTGCATTTTAATGAGGGAAATAAGTATTTGACCCCCTATCAATCAGAAAGATTTCTGGCTCCCAGGTGTCTTTTATACAGGTAACGAGATGAGATTAGGTGCACACTCTTAAAGGGAGTGCTCCTAATCTCAGCTTGTTACCTGTTTAAAAGACACCTGTCCACAGAAGCAATCAATCAATCAGATTCCAAACTCTCCACCATGGCCAAGACCAAAGAGCTCTCCAAGGATGTCAGGGACAAGATTGTAGACCCACAAAAGGCTGGAATGGGCTACAAGACCATCGCCAAGCAGCTTGGTGAGAAGGTGACAACAGTTGGTGCGATTATTCGCAAATGGAAGAAACACAAACTAACTGTCAATCTCCCTCGGCCTGGGGCTCCATGCAAGATCTCACCTCGTGGAGTTGCAATGATCATGAGAACGGTGAGGAATCAGCTCAGAACTACACGGGTGGATCTTGTCAATGATCTCAAGGCAGCTGGGACCATAGTCACCAAGAAAACAATTGGTAACACACTACGTCGTGAAGGACTGAAATCCTGCAGTGCCCGCAAGGTCCCCCTGCTCAAGAAAGCACATATACAGGGCCGTCTTAAGTTTGCCAATGAACATCTGAATGATTCAGAGGAGAACTGGGTGAAAGTGTTGTGGTCAGATGAGACCAAAATCGAGCTCTTTGGCATCAACTCAACTCGCCGTGTTTGGAGGAGGAGGAATGCTGCCTATGACCCCAAAAACACCATCCCCACCGTCAAACATGAAGGTGGAAACATTATGCTTTGGGGGTGTTTTTCCTGCTAAGGGGACAGGACAACTTCACCGCATCAAAGGGACGATGGACGGGGCCATGTACCGTCAAATCTTGGGTGAGAACCTCCTTTCCTCAGCCAGGGCATTGAAAATGGGTCGTGGATGGGTATTCCAGCATGACAATGACCCAAAACACACGGCCAAGGCAACAAAGGAGTGGCTCAAGAAGAAGCACATTAAGGTCCTGGAGTGGCCTAGCCAGTCTCCAGACCTTAATCCCGTAGAAAATCTGTGGAGGGAGCTGAAGGTTCGAGTTGCCAAACGTCAGCCTCGAAACCTTAAAGACCTCTGCAAAGAGGAGTGGAGTAAAATCCCTCCTGAGATGTGTGCAAACCTGGTGGCCAACTACAAGAAACGTCTGACCTCTGATTGCCAACAAGGGTTTTGCCACCAAGTACTAAGTCATGTTTTGCAGAGGAGTCAAATACAATTTTTTTTTTTTTTTTTTTTTTTTTTACATGCGTTTTGTTCTGGATTTTTTTGTTTGTTATTCTGTCTCTCACTGTTCAAATAAACCTACCATTAAAATTATAGACTGATCATGTCTTTGTCAGTGGGCAAACGTGCAAAATCAGCAGGGGATCAAATACTTTTTTCCCCTCACTGTATATTAAAATTGATTAAATAGTTTTTTTCCCTCATCAATCTACACACACTACCCCATAAGGACATCGCTGCACAGCTATTTTAAGGTCTCTCCAGAGATGTTCGATCGGGTTCAAGTCCGGGCTCTGGTTGGGCCACTCAAGGACATTCAGAGACTTGTCCCGAAGCCACTCCTGGGTTGTCTTGTGCTTAGGGTTGTTGTCTTTTTGGAAGGTGAACCTTTGCCCCAGTCTGAGGTGGATGATGGAGAACAGAGCAAAACCCAAGCCATGAGGTTGAAGGAATTGTCCATAGAGGGCCGAGACAGGATTGTATCGAGGCACAGATCTGGGGAAGGGTACCAGAGAATGTCCCCAAGAACACAGTGGCCTCCATTATTCTTAAATGGAAGAAGTTTGGACCCACCAAGACTCTTCCTAGAGCTGGCCGCCCAGCCAAACTGAGCAATCTGGGGAGAAGGGCCTTGGTCAGGGAGGTGACCAAGAACCCGATGGTCACTCTGACAGAGCTTCAGAGTTCCTCTGTGGAGATGGGAGAACCTTCCAGAAGGACAACCATCTCTGCAGCACTCCACCAATCAGGCCTTTATGGTAGTGGCCAGACGGAAGCCACTCCTCAGTAAAAGACACATGACAGCCCGCTTGGAGTTTGCCAAAAGGCACATAATGAACTCTCAGACCATGAGAAACAAGATTCTCTGGTCTGATGAAACCAAGATTGAACTCTTTGGCCTGAATGCCAAGCGTCACGTCTGGAGGAAACCTGGCACCATCCCTACGGTGAAGCATGGTGGTGGCAGCATCATCCTGTGGGAATGTTTTTCAGCGGCAGGGACTGAGAGACTAGTCAGGATCCAGGCAAATATGAACGGAGCAAAATACAGAGAGATCCTTGATGAAAACCTGCTCCAGAGCGCTCAGGGCCTCAGACTGGGGCGAAGGTTCACCTTCCAACAGGACAACGACCCTCAGCACATAGCCAAGACAATGCTGGAGTGGCTTCGGGACAAGTCTCTGAAGGTCCTTGAGTGGCCCAGCCAGAGCCCGGACTTGAACCTGATCGAACATCTCTGGAGAGACCTGAAAATAGCTGTGCAGCGATGCTCCCCATCCATCCTGACAGAGCTTGAGAGGATCTGAAGAGAAGAATGAAACTCCCCAAATAAAGGTTTGCCAAGTTTGTAGCATCATACCCAAGAAGACTCGAGGCTGTAATCGCTGCCAAATGTGCTTCAACAAAGTACTGAGTAAATGGTCTGAATACTTATGTAAATGTGATATTTCCGGTTTTTATTAGCAACAATTTCTAAAAACCTGTTTTTGCTTTGTAACCATGGGGTATTGTCTGTAGATTGATGAGGGGGGGAAAGAACACTTTAATCCATGTTAGAACAAGGCTGTAACGTAACAAAATGTGGAAAAAGTCAAGGGGTCTGAATACGAATGCACTGTAT